CCACAGGCTCCATGCAGATGAGGCATTGGGTGCCCGGCTCCGGAGTCGCCTCCACTGCCTGCTCTGGGCTGTGTGTGGGGCAGAAGCCCCTGGGGGAAAAAGGGGTGGGTGAGGTGAGAAGTGCTCAGCCCTTCCCTGGTGGTGGTGAGGAGGGGACAGGAGGTACCTGTACGGTGCCATGAACTGGGTGACACGGCCTCCCTACTTGGCACAGGGCAGGTGGAAGCTCAGGTCACAGTCTGTTTCGCAGCAGGTGATGGTGGCCCCGCTCTGGTCACAGATGCAGCAGCTCTGGAAAGAGCAGAGCAGCCCCATCAGCAGCAGCCTCACGGCCTCCTCCTTGTCCCAGAGCTGGTTGGAAAGGCTGGGCTTTCTTGCTTGGGGTCTGGGCTAAGCTCCAGCAAACCTCACCTGGCCCAAACCTCCCTGCTCTTGTCAGGCTCTCACCTGCTGTGCCACCCGGGAGAGTTCATCTGGGATATTCCTTGGGAGAAAGCCAAAGAGTCCTACTGGATCATCATTGTGCTGAGGAAGGCAGCTGGCAAAAACTGTAGAAAAATGACACTCAGTGATGAGGAGAAAGTGGCAGGGACTGCCTGACAAAAAATTGAAGGAGTCCTCAGAGCAACTCACCAGGCAGAACTCGTGGGCACAGAACCCATTTATCTGAAGGTTTTCTCCACAGATGTCCGGGTCAGCCTCTGATGGCTGACACAGCAGGCATGCTGGAGGGGAGAGAGACAATGGCCCCAGTCATGGCACCTGTGCTGCCCACCCTGACAGCCCCTCTGCCAGGCTGCAGGAGGGGCACTTTGCTCTCACCTGGCTCCCTCCCTTTGGGGGCCTCCTCCTCCCTGTCTGACGTGGGACGTGTCAGCGGTGGGTCCCTGTCTCACTGTCCCACCGGTGAGTGGAGCTCCCAGCACTGGGGGCTCTAACACGGCTCCTGTCACGGCAGCTTCTGCATCTGCTGTATGAATTGGGGGTCTGACCCTGCTGGTGGGAGCAGTTTCGCCTGCATTCAGGACTCTGACTGCAGGAGCAGCTGCTGTCCTCAGTTTCTGGGAAGCTGCTGTGGGATGACCCCGATGTTACCTGACTGTCAGGGCTGGAGCTGCTCGTCTTCTGTGAGGGGGATTCCAGAGTCTCCTCCGATGTTGCCTGTTGGTTGGTATGGAGTTTGCTCGTACTGGGGGTGATGGTCTCGTATTCTGTCGAGTCGTCAGAAGATTCCTTCAGGAGAGCAACATGCTCTGGGTCTTAACTGGAGAATGTAAGGGGAAGCAGGAGGGACAAGATC